ACTCCAATCGCGCCTTTATTTCCCATCTCCGCCAGACCAACTCCCACTCCGCCAGTCTCAACATCCGATACAGCTGAAGGGTCCTTCGCAAACACCATTATGCCCGTCATACCTAGATTTCTTGCTGACACCGGGTGGTAGATCAACCCATCGTCACCACCAGGAGTGCCAGCTGCCTTGCGCGACGCCTTCTCTACTGCTTCATGAAATCGGCTGAAGTATGGGACGAGAAAGGATCCGCCGATCAAGCATTGTGGTATAGGTGCGATTTCTTGGAGGGAGAGGACGAGAAGATCGGGCAGCTTAGGTGTGCTGAGCCCAGAGAAGAGCTGGGATGCTACGGCGTCAACATCGATGAGCGCTTTGCCACAGTTGAATGTTAAGATGTATAGGCTGATGGCGGCCGTTGTGATGTTTGTCGCCATGTTCAAATTATGTCGTGGCTGTTGTTCATAACTCTGAGGTCCGGGTTGTTGCTGACTTGCAAGGTCTGGAGCTCAGCTCAGCCGACGTCATGGAGGGTGGGTTCCATTCGGACCAAGTTTAGCGCGGAGCTAGCAGATAACCTTAATTATCCACCTTAAGGGGTGCGGTTGGAAGTGGCCGATATTGGCGAAGAGCTATTCTGCAACAAATACGTGATAATAACTACAACTACAATGACAACACTATAATATTTTGTGGTATAAATGTAGGTCTACTATTTCTAAAGAAACTGTGACGAGTTTAATGAATTTGATTATTCTTTCGTTGAGGAGTAGTGTATTGCGCAAGCTGATTTTGGTGTTCCGCACGTGCCTCAGCCAGCCTTTCCCAATCGCACCCCCCTAGCCACCCTCTTCCTTTCCTCGCTTCCATCCCTTTTCGATATTTTGTAAACAACGTTGGAAACGGGCAGGCGAGAAGATCTTGGCGACCTAATTTCCTCACAAGGAAAGATTACGCCTCTCATTTCTCCAAAAGGTTCTTTGCATCATCTAGAAGCCCCCACATTGAAGGGCGTGGGAGACCCGACCCTGCAGCAAAAAGCACAGGCATAAATTACTCTGTCAGGAAGGTCAATGATGCTGATCTTTCTTTCTAGTCATCGTGCTCACCCACGACGATACCCAAGGCGGATAAGCTCCGCCAAATCACCTCAGACAACCGTAGAAGAGTCATAAATTCTGTAAGCACTATTTCAGGCCTGGCAGGGAATAGAGAGTGGGGGACCTTACTTGTATCAATCATAGCACGGCGCAAGTCCTGAAACCATATACCACACCACAGCACATCGCTGCCAATTCCATATCAACCCCTATAAATTCATACTCGCCCCTTTGAGCACAATTACATTACCCATCACATTAATCCACCATGGCAGCAACATCCCTTGACGGCTCCTACGACGGCCTCGCTCCATTCGTCTACCCCGCAGTTGACAAACCCCTTCAAACATACTACCGCATATTCGGCGACCTCAAATCACTCATCACACCTCTCGTCGTGCTCCACGGCGGCCCAGGCTACCCCCACAACTACCTTCTCAACATATCCATCCTCACCCACACTAAATCCATCCCCGTGATCTTCTACGACCAAATCGGGTCCGGCCGATCTACCCGCCTCCCAGAAACAGCATCCACGCCCGAATTATGGGACGAGGAGATCTTCTTCGAGCAGCTGCGCCAACTGCTCTGTCATCTCGGTATCGAGAAGAAATACGACATCCTTGGCTCTTCGTGGGGTGGGATGTTAGGCTCAGCATTCGCGGCTACCAAGCCTGCTGGACTGAGGAGATTAGTCCTCTCGAATTCGGCGGCTAGTAAAGCGCTTTCGATCGAGAATCGTATGAAGTGTAGGAAGAAGCTTCCTCAAGAAATGCAAGATGTACTGGATCACGCTGATAGAACGGGGGACTGGCGATCGAAGGAAGTAGGTGCGGTGATGAACGAGTTCAATGTCAGATATATCTGTACAGTCGTTCCTTTGCCGGACGATATGAAAGAGAGTGGACGCTTGTATGGAGAAGACACTACTGTTGCCACTGCTATGTAAGTTCCGCTTTTTCCCCCTGAAAAGCGTGTTGTAGATACTAGCCGAGGTAGGGGCGATGACAAAGATGGTAACCCATTTGATTGTACTGGCTTCTGCAAAAGGTGGAGTATGGTAGGGAGGGCGAAGGATATCGCTGTGCCGACTTTGGTGATCAACGGCATTGATGAGTTCGCGGCTGGAGATGCGGTCAAGCCGTTCTTAGATGAGGTTAAGGATGTCAGGTTGGTTACTCTTGAGGGGACGACTCATTGTCCGCATGTTGAAAAGAAGGAAGAGTATATGAGGGTGGTGGGGGAGTTCTTGACAAGTTTATAGGCCAGCATTAGATCCCAATGGTTTGAGAAATGGAGGCTTACAGATTCGCACTATCAACACCACCTCAAGGTAACACCGTGAATTAGTATATAACCTTCTGGGTGGCCGAAGAATCAGAAAATATGTTGGCATAAGACAGAGCCACCACCACCTGCTGCTTCGAAAATTAATACATTAAAATTTCTATCAGTTGAAAGCATAGTAATAAAGTTTGGTGTGAGATAAGTTCCGGACAGGGAAGATTCTGCGGTAGCAAGCGGGGTTAGGTAAGTCTAAATCATTATTGAACTTGTGGCCTCGATAGCTGAATCGCATCGAGTTTGAGTTTGTCTTTTTCAATGACTCGGCAATGAATAAATATGTCCAGGTCATAATTCAAGTAAACTTTAATCAAGCCGAGTCAAAGAGATCAAACTCAGACCTAGTCCAGTCAAGTCCAAGTCTCGTTGAAAGTCGTGTCTGAGTAGGACTAGCCTAATACTGAATGAACTGTGAAGAGCTTGCTTCTTTGCTTGGGCTTATGGGAAATATCTTTCGTAGGTCATTTTTTGATTCCTTGCACAAACGATCTAAGTTTAGCGAACCCAGCATGACGGCAATAAGCAAACAAGTTCCGCAGGATCTCATCACAATCAAGCAACGAAGTTTGGGGGAGCGAAAAAGGAGGCCAGTTTTAGTTCACACTCTTGTACAATTTCAGACTTGAGGGTTCATAAGACTGGGCATGAGATTAACCTGTCAAAAGCGGTGGTGACTTCATATGGGCTACCCGGTTTGTGGAAAGCCACTCATTATTGACTTTGATAAGTGGGGCTGAGACAGCTATGTAGGCGAGCAGAATATCTAAGTCACTTCCGAAGTGCTAAAATGGGTGCCCTTAGAATTTGTAAAGAATACATCTGGATGACTTCATTCTCTGCTGAATCTAAACCAAGATTTTTTAAGCATCTCGGTCCTGGTTTCTCCATGCTTTATGCTAAGGACCCTATGTCTAATCTGAGTTGGAGTGGAACCCGGTGGCGGGCTCGCTGTAATAACCACCCTCACCACTACTATCTTCAGCCAACTCGTTCCCATCCATATCGAAGTCAATCGGCTTCTGGGTACCACTGAACAATTTTAGCACCGGATATGTTTTGAACACATCGCAATCCTAGACACAATATCTCGCCTGGGAGGTGCGAGAGTTAACTGCAAAATTCGATTGCAGCCCCAACAAGAGTGTAAGACATACCGATGTTCGTTGTTCCAATGGCAGCGGGCACCAGCATCTGTTTCGAACCCAATTCCTTTACCCTTGTATCCATCCAAGCCGCAGACAAGGTACTATTTCTTCAACATGTGTTGACGGGTTGATCCAGAGAAGCATCCATTTTCAGCACAATGTCTTCGAAATGCCCTGTCGTGGGCATCTTGCTGGTCATTATTGTCAACACGTGCGTAATTTCCCCGAGGCTGTGCTCGTTTCTTCTGGGCTGTTGACGAGGGATCCGATTGCCTGGTGAAGGTAGAAGTCAGCCGTGAACTATGATACAAAACCTAAACAAACCCAGTTTAAGTTAAAAAACTTACTTTTATCCAACGAATATTTCGGTGATCTTGAAAGTTACTACCAGAAATTGAACAGAACCAGAGGATTCTTGGGGCTAAAAATACTGTCTCTGAAGCCTGAATGGCTAAGTCGAGAGCAACCTTCGGGGGAAAGCAAGGCCTTTTAAGCAGCGGGCTTCTCATCTCTCACTCTCTAGAAGTTCGCACAGCTGAGCTCGTGCTTCACTCACTCGAAGCTTGCGGACGCATCTCAGCGAATCGCGAGGTGGCGACATGTTGTGCAAGTCGAATACAAGTTTCTCCTGCAGAATTGGCTGAACAAGATGCCCGACTCTGCTACAGCCCGGTATCATTTAAGTCTCTGTCCCACCTATAACGCAGCACTTGAGGAAGTATGTTGGCGTATCGCTGTCACCCAACATGTTGTACCATCCTTTCCCCGCAGGCTTGGCTGAGATCAACGCCCGGCTCTGCTGTTTACCTCCTACTTCAGTGTCCGTACTTTGGCAAGCTATTAAAGGTGTACGTGAGTCCAACGCCAACCACGTCGTAGAGAAGTCCAAGTCCAGACCTTTGAAGCTCCGCCGGACTCCATCTTCCCCAGACCAATGCAAAATAAATGTTCATGAATTTAGAAGTCGCATATATTGTCAAGTATACAAACTGGAAACTTATTAAACATCAATGTCCTCACATCTCAGCATACCCTACTTCTCCTGGTCTCTAATATCAAAGTTACACGCCTCGCTAACAAATAATATTTCTGGCACTTTGTAGTCTTCTTGAGGACATTTTTTTTATTCCTAGCATTAACAAGACAGCCCGTTTTGTACTCCTATGAAATAACCTTCCTCTTTCTAAGTTTGGAGTAACATTACTTATCCTTGCCCTCGTGCTGAGGAACTAACATCCACCGAGAACAATAAAGCAAGCGAGTCAGGGGCATTCTCGCTTCCGGATTGACAACTCTGTGGAAACCCTCCGTTATCGCTCGCTTACACAGAAAGACACTACACAAAAATGCCAAAAGCCCTCGGAAAGTACAACAACAGAAGAGGTCATCTTTTCAAAGATAAAAAAGAAAAAAAAAGAAATTGTGCGTTCGCCGGGAATCGAACCCGGGGCCCATCGATTCTGATTGAACAAGTTAATGCTCAATGGCAACGATGGATTTTACCACTAAACCACAAACGCTATATATTTGGAAATTTTTCTCAGTTTAAATTTCCTGTGATTGATGATAAATTACTCTTATTTAAATATAATAAAGGGTTAAGAAAAACCCCGGCAGTCGAAAATCCTGCAGATAATAAAGTAGGTGCAGCCCCCACTCTTCAAAAACAGCCAGAGGCTCTCACTAGCCCCGGTTCCCCCCCAACCACCCTATTGTAAGTACAATTTAAATGTGAACAAGTCAATACCGCCCCGTGTGCGAACAGAACAATATCTTCAACTACTTAGCTACACCTCATCGGTTGGATACTCAACATGAAAACATAGTTTCTTGCAAGTTCGCTAAAAAGAAAGAAACCCCAGATCACATTGGCAGAAAAGCGGCATCGTGAGCCTGGTTCCGAAGTTGACAAGCTAAGGTAAAGCAATAACTTGTTCTTGAGTACTTCTTTATAGACAGTTCCCCCCCCTCTTCTTTCGACCGTTAGACAGAACATTCGACAATATCAGCTCAAGAGGCAATTTCAAAGACGAGCCGGCTGCAATTGCCTTTTGAGTTGGGATGATCACAAGACAGGCTGGATCAGTCGCGGTGCTAATATTGCCTAGATTCTTGTATGATGATGGTCTAATAAAACGATATGAATGATTCACATCACCGCTATTAGAGCCAAGTACTGTAAGGCGAGAAAAGTCATGGTCGGACTTCTCCCCGCAGTCCCCGCACTTGCCCTCGAGGGATCACCCCGCGTTTCCACAAAACCGAAAGCATCTTGTCTTCAGCATCTTGAAAAACCGCAAGGCAACCAAGCTTATCGCTACAATTACCATTACATATAGGAGATTTCTTATAGAAGATCAGTATAAACAGGCGTAATACGAGAATGCGGGACAAGTTTGTCACATTTTTTCATCTCTGAAAGTCACGACAATCTGGAACATATTACTTATGCTGGTCCATAGGATAGCTCTGGAAGGCAGGAGGTAAACATATAGCTGCAGTGACAGAATTTTTAGAAGAAGCCAAATATCAGATAAGAGTTGCTTGTGAAGATGATTTCGGGATATTTCGGAGAGACCAGACTGTTGCCCAGCATGTCAGCCTCGAAGCTCAGTAGCGCTCTGTTGTTATCCCAAATGATACTGTGCTCAGATATCACCTCTGTTTTTTTTTCAAAAGAGAAAGAGCAAGAACTCAAGACAGGGTATCAAAGGTTTTTTTTTTTTTTTTTTTTTGGCTTTTTGTTGTTATTAAAAGCCAGGCTCTACGAGTTTGGCTTTTTGGTATCCGACACCGTAAACGGCGAAGCGATTTCAATCTCTTCAGCAGGGCGTTCTTGGTACTCAAAATACCCATGCGGCACCGTGACAAAGTCCTCTCCACTCCCCGCAGTCCCAAGCCTTCCAAACTCATCTCGAGTCGAAGATTGGCTGTCCATTCGTTCTTCGATGTGCCAAAGACTAATTCTTCGGTCACTATTTACCCTGCTTGAATTTGAGTTCCTCCTGCCGCTGGTGTTGGCCAATTGTGATTGTCGTCGTTCAGCGATGGATTTGTTGTGCGCACCACCAAGTTGCAGGTCGATGATGACAGCTTGGAAAAATGGTGCGTTGGCCACGAAACTTGCACATGCTATCTCGATGCTGGCCCACATCGAACGGATGGCTTGAGCATCATCCCGAAGAATCAGAGGCAGCCGGACAAGGGTGGTAATGATAATCAAAGAACCAAGAGCAAATAAAATGCCTAAGCGCAGGAATCTAGAGGGATACACTTAGCCAAAGAATTCGAGAAAGCGGGCATAAGGCTCATACCGTGAAAAGTCAAGGCCGGCTTGTCTGAGAAAAGATATCGGGAAGACGATGAGAGCAATGTCTGTAATGATATTCGCAACGCCCATAGTAACAAGGTTTAATCTCGCGCTGCGGCATTGCGCTGAATGATGGTGTTAGTTCAATTCCGCTCTTCTTCAAAATAATTAAAATACCTCCTGCTGGATCGTTGTTCCACATCCTGTTGGAAAGTCAGCACGTGCCCGAAACCTTCTGAGTTCAAGACCAACTTACAGTTTGATAGGCTGGCATTCTAGAAGAGTAACTACCACGATCACCACAAAAGTGATGTAAAGACTGGCGCGAATCCAAAGTCCCACTCGTCGATACACTGGCAAATTCCTGCAGATCCTGAGATATAACTCCAAGAGACACATTTTCATGCACCACAAACTGAAAAGTCAGCGCCAAAGTCTGATCACTCGAGAAAACCCACTCACAAAAGAGCATAGAATATCCTCGACGGCAACAGCAGTTTCATGGATAATTCCGAGGTGCTTGCATTGCGAGAAGCGGCATCCGACCAAGCAACACAAGTAGCTCGTCCCACAAGAGGAAAGAAGGAGAACCCCATCCAGAGATCATCAATATGCCATTTTCTATGACATGTAACATGGATTTTACATCGATACACAACTCGGTACGCCGTTCTTGTAACTATGCAGATGAGGCAAATCACGGACGTGACGATAACCCCTATTATTCGCTGGCTGGTCATCGAGTGGGCCCGTGAGGAGTGCCAGTACGCAGGCGCGCACTATGCACTACTGCGGAGCATATGGTTCTTGTCTTGTGGGCATGCGTCGGAGCTCAGCAGCAGCATCAGAGGAGACAGGACAGGAAGAGAAGAAGACGAACCCCAACCCCTTTCATACTTGGAGGAAATCTTTCCCCGCGGCGCATAGGCCGCGAAGCCCGCTCAGCTGCTCAGCGCTAAACGACGGAAAAGGCTGCCATAATTAAAAATACACGCGTGAGGATAGAAGCTGCGCCCAGTTGGCGAGCCGTGTCTGCAGCGAAGATCTTAGCTCCGGCCTCTTTCTGGTCGCGGTGAAAGGAAGTGGACCTATCATGACTGATAGCGCTGGTCATCCAAGATGCTGGATTCGAAAATTCTGGTTAGGATTGCCCAGGCTCGTCCCGTGTCTTGGCGTAGTACATGTTCCTTTGCCTCGGGAAATGTGACCGGGAAATTATGCGTGTTTGGTACATATTAAAAAAACAAGATGAAATTTTGGGATGAATTCAAGGAAAAGTTAGATTCATTGATCTTTCTGTTATGACTTAATGCCAGAACTGGCTTCCTGGCAGCCCGGAACAGCCCGATCGAGAGATGCAAATATCACGTGAAGGACGCTAAAATATGTGTCCATGGCGATGCATGTCCGAGAATAGTCGCATGCACACTCAGAACCGATAAGAAGAAAAAGAATGACCCGAAAGAGCAGTATGAAATCAAGCCGGCGCGAAGGGTCAGCCGATTTCCCCTATTTACCTTCGGCTACCATCCGAAGCGAGACCCACTTCCCTATATCCAACAACCGTCGAAACATAACCGTACTGCAACCAGATGCCACTTTATAGGGGGGAGAGACAAATGTTAACAATGAAAATATTTAGTACGAGATTTAGAGGCTCTTTTCAAAAGTCTAAGGAGAGTACATTATATGTATTAGCTCTCAGACCGAAGAGTCTTGCTCTTCATCTCGAATTAATTTCCCAGACTTTGCCGTTGAACTCATCCTTGCTTGTCCTCCATCCAGCCCTGATTGCTCTAGTACCCTCCCAAAAACATAACAGTGAGTCAATACATGAAAAGAGCAAACCTCTTACAAACAAAATACACCCAATAAAGAACCTTCCCACCCTTATCCAGCTTCGACGGCACCCCCGACCAATTACCCGTCACAGCAGCAAGCAACCAATCCATATACACCAACATGAAAACCAGTAGCAAGAGGCAGACCTTCAGAGTCCACTTCATCATAAACCAAAGAACCCGCTGCTCGTCTTCAGAATGCTCATGCACGCCATAGGAATTCTTCCTTCCTGTACACATACATAGCAGGACAGTCAGGCCAAACATGACTGCTGCTGGCATGAAAAACCACTTTGTGATTTCCTTCACTTTTCCAATTGTGTCCCAGACTTCCCGTGCGATCCCTACGCTTCCGACGAAACCCATTGCGCAACCCACGAGCCATAGCGAGATGATCATGCCCCAGGATGTCCATTGTCCATATTTGTTTCCTTCTTGCCGAAAATCTGTTCTGTCTCTTGACCAGAATCCTCGCTTGATGAGTCCTCCGCGCATGTTGACGGGTTCGTATTGGGGCGTTGAGTAGTATGCCGTCAATGGGTATGGCTTAGCTTGACCGTTGTACTGCTCGGGATGCATGTTGTATCCATAATCGGAGTTGATGGCACCGGGATAAGATCCAGGTGCTGGTGGATCGTAACCATTTGGATTGTACGGAACATTCGAAGGCGGCATAGCATTTCCATCTCTAACGCTCACCTCCCTTGATCGCCTGACGAAGAGCCAGCGACCATGACCAAGCATCGCAGCAATCGAACTTGCCGCGGAGGTCAACAACATCCAAATTCCAAGCAATTGTAGATGGCCCTCTCCTTTGCATCGCGTAACCGTCAAAGTGCCTGCGATTGTTGTGCCAACTAGCTGAAGGAAACCGATAGCCACATCAAGCTTCTGGTACTCCTGTCGCTTCCACGGCACCAGCGGACGTCGACCATATGCATTAACGAACATGCAGTAATAGGTCAGGACGTGGGATCCGAACCCAAGACCGCCGTAGGGAAGAGCATAGCAGTGGATATTCTCACGAATCTTGATCAAGGATTCTGTTTTGTTCGTTGCAGGGCTGGAATCATTCGCATAGTTGCCTTGACGGGGAAAGACGTGGGGGTCGCTTAGGGTAGAATCCACTGAAGCAGCGAGAGTGAAGCTACAGAAGAAAACTAGCAGGGCAGCAGTCAGTACAATAATTAAACTAGGAAGCACTTTAGAAATGAGAGTCAGAGCACGCATTGTGAAATGAACAAGTTACTGCATGCTCAGTGAGCGAGATCGGTGACTTAAATGAACAACTTCGAGACCACTCGGTTGCAGAATATTTATAGAATCTGTTCTTTGAATCGCGATCACATGGCCAGGGGAAGCGATGTTG